CTTGTTTTCTAAAGCCATCATAGACCTTTCAGTCATATTCTGCTAATTGAACGAGCTGTGGAGGGAAATTGCTGTAATAAAGTGAGTCAGGCTACAAAATATTAGCTTTTATATTTGAATGGCAAGGAAGAAAGCAGCAGTGTAAACAGTACTGACTCTTTGAAATCAGAATCAGAATTACTCAGTACATTTGTCTCTCCTGGGGTCACCTGAACGGCAACGAATCATCAGTCATCAGGTCCTACTAGAAGAATTTTGCAATTTGTGATTAATGGTTCACAAATCTCCAATCGTATAATGGCTTCTGTGCAATATTTTGTGCTGTATTAGTTGTGTTTTGAAGTTAGAAGAACATTTAAGTGTATTTCTAAGAGGTGTGCTTCTCCTGCAATGAGCTCCAGTTGGGCACTCTGAATCAAAAAAATCTTCAGGTGTGGTTCAGTCCCTTAATACAACAGACTGTAAACACTTCTCTCACAGACCAGATATTTTTACAAGAGTCTTGTTTTTATGTTCTCTTGCCCTTGCTAAAATTATATATGTGTTGGTCAAACAAAAAGGAAAAGTAAACTTTCTGAACACGAAACTGCACTCTGCACTACAAACACAGATGCCAAGTACTATGTGGAAGTGAACCATAAACTGTATCACAATTCAGAGGCCACATCCTTTGTGGCAGCATTTGAAGACCCATTGTGCCACAGCAGCGCTACTAGACTGTCACATTTTGAAGGCTCCTTCAAAAGTGGCCAAGAAATGGGTGGATCCTTCATGGCCCAACTTATCCCATGATTCATTTGGTAATGAAAATATTATGGCAACAAACAACGCTGACAGAGAGCCTGAGGATTACACTTTTAAATGGGTTTAGCTCAGTTGAGTTTAGCTAACGGTACAACCTAGAACCTTAAAACCTGTAAAAAAAAAAAAAAAAAGAAAAAAAAAAGTAACATGTGGTCAAGGTTGCTAGGCAACAGGAGCAGCACTTTGTGATGCAATGATAAGGGTGAGCACACCCCCTCTGCAGGCTAGACCATCTCATTTCGGTTCAGCCTTTGAGGTCTACGACGGAAGATGTGGCCCCTGGACTGGGACATAGCTATAGTCTCACTTTCCTCTTTGTTGGTCTTAAAGTGGTGTCACTGATGTGTAGTGGAGATGTCTCAAAACTCCTGATACTACAATTCAGACTGCTGAAGCCTCATTTTAGCGTTGTCTTTTTATATAAAATCACGTACACTGAAATCATGCTAGGAAAGGATGGCTAGTATGGGGAGCACTAACAATTACAGCGACCAATACCCCTGCAATATGAAAAAAAGTAACCTTATCTTTTAAATAATGATCCCACATGGTCCGAATGACTTCTTTACCTTTAAACCCGTTTTTTCATGCAAATTTTAAGTTTTACTAATGCTACTTAGCTGACATTAGCTAATGGTCATTTACTTCCGTTTAGAAGAAACGTTGTGAATTCAGCACCAAACTTAATTTGTTTATTTGCTAAGAGCTGTCGGTGGTGTAGTGGTGGAAAGCAACATCAATGTTTCCTTATATTTTTATCACTTCTTTATTTACTTCGTCTACTGAAGTTATCATGCTAACCAGCAAGCTCTGGCACAATCAGTCTTGTCACTTTCCAATACCGAGTCACTGTAGTGTCCAGTCTGGCCTGAATAAGTAGTGCTGCTCAGAGGACGTATTTTAACCTCTTGTGTTGTAGATGCCACGATGGCTGAAGCTCTTGGTTTAGACTGCCTGTAAATAATGCCAACGTTGGCTATGTAGCGATAAGAAAACTTACGAATAACTGTGTATACTGTGAATAATTGTGTTTTGGGCATTTCCTTGATGTTTTTGGGTATAAAAGCAGAACCAAATTATATTTTCTTGTTTTACTTAAAATATAAAATTTTTTAAAATCTATTCTTAAATTACTTTAACTTGGTATTATATTATATTTTGATAATAAGAAATTAATATAATAATAATTGTGACCTCTGAAATGCTGCCCTGATTCCTCACTCTGTTTTTGAGAAATATGAAAGTAGGGGTCCAGAATTAAAGACAGTTGTCCTGCAGCCCATCTCTCATGGGGGGGCACTCATGAAGCGGGGCTTTGTAAATTTTGGAAAGAATATTTTTCTTACCAATCAGAGCTGGCAGTGTTGGAAGAGTATAGTTACTGAACTCACTGAAAATAAATATGCCTGCAGTCTGTTCTTCAGATCAGAAGACTGCATGTCACAACACAGCATGTTGCTGTTGCACACAGCGCCACTGAGTGGCAAACACTGAGTACTGCTGATCATTAAAAACCCAAACTTCTGGCACATCACTCTCCCCCAGTCGCCACCCGTACAGCACACAGAGCTCAACGTCACAAAACAAGTAGTTAAATCCGTATAAAAAGTAGGTTGCCTTTATTAGAAGCTGGGAAACCAAAACATTATCAACATCGTCGTTGTTAATACTTTTTTTTTGTAAGACCACAATATTGCCATTGCATTTACCAGCATCATCATCATCATCGCTTCGCACTTTTTCCACAACATGCAAAAAGATTCAAGAGTTCAGCGTTCCTTTTCCACACTAGTGACAAAAGCTTCTCCACTTGGTCTTCTGTAAGAATCACAACTTGGCTTACATTTTTACATTGCCAGTACAACTGAAGGTAAATAGAAAAGAAACATCAAAAACAGTACAACAGAAGAAATCGTAGAATGGATGAAAAAGGAGAAATTCATAGCCTTATGCCATGTGCCTCCTGTGGGATGATAGAGAGGAACCTCATTCAAGCCCTCAGTGCTGTGAACTACAAGACATTATCTGATCCTACTGCAAACAGAGCTCTCAGAGCTTTTACACTGGTATAAACATTTTTCCCCCTATTTATTTTATTGTATCCAATCGTCTTAAAATGACATTAAGGACTGGGTGCCAATTTAGGACCTGAATGTAGAAAAACACACTAACCTGCTAATGACAGTCGTAAAACAATCAAATGTGCTTCTGAACCAGGGACTAGGTTCGAGTGTGTCCTGTACACATCCAGGACTGAATTCTGTTGCAGTCTTGGGACCAATCAGAATTTCTCCTGACCAACGCCTAATAAATGAGGTTTAGTTCCCAAGATCATAATAGCAACTTTTCATATTTTTTTTTTTATTTTTTTGCTTTGACATCAAACACTACTTATCGCAAAAAAGGACAATCTCACAAGTGCTGCACCTGATCACCGAGTCACTAGTTTTGAGATCGTTTATGGCTTTGGATGGTCTGCTGATCATACAAATTGTTGACTTGTTCTAAGCCTAATTTGCTGCTTGTAGCAAAGACCTAAAACATGAGGACAGATTACATTCTCAGGCCTCCAGTGATAATATCAGAGCCACCACTCAAACTCAACTCAACTCAATGAAAATTAAGGCATTAATAGACAAATGAATGCCAGATATATACTGAGCTGCCCACCTCATCGTGTCAATCTTTTCTAAGCATCAGTACTGTATTACTCTGGATTTTAAAATGTATCAGCCTGTGAAATACTAATGTGAGCAACAAAAAGCTCTAAGAAACAAATGGACATGGATACCAACAGTAACCATTAAGCTGATGGGACTGGGAGAAAGGGAAGGACAAGAGAAAGAAAGGAGTAAGGACAGGAGTAAATCAGGGAGGGACGGTTGGTCCAACCATCAGGCAGAACAGATTGGATAGGGTCGACTTTTTTCTTTAAAATCATGATACATTTTATTTCTTTTCTTAAAAAACAAACATTACAAAAAAAATCTGAATAGAGAATTAGAACAATGAACCAACAGGAGAAAAAACAACATTCATTTTTTTAACCCTCAAAAAACAAAAAAACAAAAAAAAAAAGAAAAGAAAAGAAAGGAACATCTCGCATTCCTTAAAAATAAACAAAAAATAAAAGATTTAGGGGTGCCTGGCACAACAGGTTGAATGTTGAGAAGATGCTGTAGCCATGCAGGGAGGGGATGTTGGTGCGTTGTGAAAAGGGGTGGGGGGTTGCTTCACGTAGCATGGTGCATCATTAGAAAGCCCAACATATAACAACAGAAACTGTTTCACAGGCAGCTGATGGGCCTAGACAAAAGAAAAGCCACACCCTCTTACAGGAAGTACCCCACAGGTATACAAATCATACAAGTACATAAAAACACACACGTGTTGGCTTGAAATGTGTGACGGTGGCAGTCCGGCATGTAGCAAACAGTCAGCGGTGACCCACCACTCTGCTGGTAACACACCTCCAACTGTTTGATCTAAGAAGCAGCAGCTACAAGTGGAATACTTTTCAAAATAATGCGCTTTACTTAATTCTTCACACAGCCACACAAGAAGTCAGGGCATGAATACAGTCTGAAAGAGGTTTGGGTGATCTTTTAAAAATAAAATTAAAAAGATGCTGCTTTAACCGAAAAACAGTTTCAGAGGGTTTTTTAAAAAACGAACTAACGCGGCTCTGTTAAAACACGCTCCTGGTTTAAAAGCACGTGTACCAGAGAGAGGATAAAGGCTTCACCCCTGCACGTGTTGACTTAACATCGCTTTGTAAATACAGCGCTTTAGTAACCGACACTGGGACACTCTGAACAACACTCCCAGTAACTGCAGATATCAGAAAGGTAAACAGGGAAAAAAATTGTGTGGCCACTCATGTTAGATCACTGATAATCCCAGAGGAGGAAAAAAAACAAAACAAACACAAACACTAGTGAACTTGTCTGTTCACACTCAGGACGGATGCTCACCAGTGGGCTCTTTGAAAGGCAGAAACGTTTAGAAAATAATGAAGACAGGAGGGTGGGTGAGGCTGAATGTTGACAATATAAACTCCTTACGCCGTATGATCATGGGCACAATGTCTTAGTTGGAATGGGGGAGGGGAGGACAAGAAAAAGCACACCAAGTCCAAACCATTGAGCCAGGCCACCAGGAGGAAAAAAAACCAACCAAAAAAAAAAAAAACAAACAAAAAAAAAAACTCTAAACGCAGAGCAACAAAAGAAAACAAAAACAGAGAAGAGACAGAGAGAGAGACATGGAGGATGGGCTTCAAACGGGTACCATCTTCTAGTCTTCTCCAGAGGGTGCCTCCTCTTCTGATCCGTCCTCCTCCTCTTCGTCCTCTTCCTCCTCCTCTGCTCCTGCGGCCTCCTTCGTCGTCTTGGGGGCAGGGGAGGTCTCTTTCTTCTCAGCCTCCTCCTCTTCCTCCTCCAGGGGACTCTCAGGGTCCTCCTCCTCCTCCTCTTTGGGTGAGCTCTTCTCCAGGGCCTTGGCGCTAGGGCGCCCCTTCCCCTTTCCTTTCATTGGGCTGGGGGTCACTGGAAAAAAACATGCATCAGTTAGTGACCGTCAGGTTATGATTGAGTCTTACTACTGGCAACTGTGAACTGGAGCGTGGGACTTTTACATATAAATGAACATCCATTACATTCAAGCCAAACCAGTTCACACAATGCTGCTTAAGCAACAGAGTTTTAAATCTGGTATCTGTGGCGACATTCCCGCCCTGGTCCACCGGTAGTGATGGGTTTTCAACCATCAGTGATCGGTTTGCTCGAGCTAAAGAGGGGAGCATCCATAGCGATGGAGAATGGTGGAGATCGGAGGCTCCAGATAAAAAAGAAACTCGACATTCAGACGAAAGATTACAGTCTAAAAAAGAAAGCGATCGACGGTGAGGACAAACATGAATTACCACTGGTGTGGTGTGAAAGAAGAGAGGGGACTCTCTTCTTTCACACCACACCAGTGGTAATGGGACGAGGGCAAACATGGATATCGCCATTTGTAAAAAAAAAATTGTAAAAAGATGCTGCTTTAACCGAAAAACTGTTTCAGAGGGTTTTTAAAAAACGAACTAACGCGGCTCTGTTAAAACACGCTCCTGGTTTAAAAGCACGTGTACCAGAGAGAGGATAAAGGCTTCACCCCTGCACGTGTTGACTTAACATGGCTTTGTAAATACAGCATACTTGCAATGGTGGAAATTTCTCTATATTTTTGTAATTATTATTATTATTTTTTTAATTTATTTATTTTGTAATTGTTTGCAATTTAATACATAGTATGAAATTACAGAAGCCTAGATTTAATCCTCTGTTTTTTAACTGGGAGGCTCAACGTGTTTTACTTATTTTCATCCGCAACAGATTTTGGATGGTTCTCATAACATTAAGCTCTACTAAGCCTTCAGCTAATAACTTGGTGAAATCTTTATGTCTGTGCATGAAGTATGAAGGCAGAACCAGGAGGAGATTATCTTAGCTCGTCATAAAGACGGGAAGCAGGGGGAAACAAGTTAGCCTGGCTCTGTCCAGTTTAACAATCTGCCGATCAACACCTCTAAAGTTCACTAATTAACATGTATCTTGTTTCATTTATCCTCAAACAGAAATGACAACAACTTTCTTGATAAACAGCTGGGCTCAGTGTCTCCTCACTGTCTTTTCATCGCCGACTCTGAAAAGTGATAATTGAAGACATTGCACAATATTACTGGGAGGATGAACTGGTGTTTGTCATCAAGTAGTTACGCGATGTAACCCCCTCTAAAAGAAGGTGATTTTACAGTTGTGTTTGTGGACAGAGGAAATGTAGAGTTTACTTGTTACTGAGTGAGCATCAGAGCTGCTGTATATTTTTTTAACTTTAGACAGAGCCGGGCGAGTTGTTTCCCTGTCTCCAGGTTGCCTGGCAACCGGTCCCCCACAAGAAAAACTGTCATTTATTACGGTTTACTACAGAGTAAACAAATGAGATTCAATGTGTTAACTACGAAGATGTTGGTGTCAGAGCTTCATATTTAAGACAGACATTCAGTTAAAGCTGAAGTGTGGGACTTACATTTAAGGATGCCCCGATCACATTTTTTTTGCCGCTGATACCCATCATCTGAGTGATATCGGCCGATCCACGGCCATGATTTTTGTCATGCACTGCAGATGGCGTACGTTATATCAGTCTCTCACACTTTGTAAAAGTTCCACACAGCCGACATGTTTTGTTTTGGTGGCCTGTCGTGCACCGGCGCAGTGAACAAGGTGGGAGGCGGGACAACACTACATAGCACACAGCGCTTCTCTCAGCCGCAGACACCAGAGTATTAACCACAGGTGATCGGTGACTAGAAGCATTAATTACGATCTATCAATCACATATTTTTAATGAAAATTAATCAGCGCATCCCTAATTACATTCAAGCCAAACAAGTTCACACAATACTGATTAAGCCTCCAGGTGAATCTCTCTGTATTGCGCAGTAAACTGAAGTTTTAAATCTCCTGTCTGTGGCGACTTTACCACGCTGTGCACCAGGCGCTTTTTACATCAACCAGCGAGTTTTGCCAGAGCTAAAGCTTCTTTCGTCTGTATGTTCACTGTAAATATATCTGGAGGCTCAATAAAACACCAGATAGACATCTTCAGTATATCTCTGGTGTTTATTATGTGTCCCCCATCAAACACAGTACAACATACTAAACGTTTCTAGATGAAATACGTCAGTAGAAACCTTCAGCCTGTGTTGCTTGGGGGACACATTAAAAGTGTGGGAAACAACATTGAGCCTCCTGATATGTTTACAGTGAACATATAGACAACAGGACAAGGTGTCAGAAGGAGCAGCTGAGGTAGTTGAAGGAGTATGGTGGAGATCTGATGCTCCAGATAAAAAAGACACTGCGTCCAGAGGAAGGATCACAGTCTGAGAAAGAAAGTGATTGACAGCGAGGACAAACATGTTTTACCCCGATGCGGCTTTTCCTTGTTGGGACAGATATAAATGTTGCTTTACTGCTCTTTGACATGTTGGAATAACTAAAATATTTGGAGTAGGCTACGTAACTTTTACATTTACTCTACCTAAATAGTGAATCATTGTCTTGGAACTGTTTGTCTGTTTTCAACAGTGTTTATGTAGTTACTCTCACTGCCAGAGGGGGGAGACAAAAGTTACACACTGCAGGTTTAAGAAAAGATACGTCTAAAAAAAAATTTTTCTAGCTTTTTTTTTTTTTTTCAAGAAAGGAGGAAGCACTTCAACACTAGAACCGGTACTGCACCTAACTTTGTAACTAAATATCAAAGATGGGACAAAGCCTTTGTTTTGCAAGTCTCAAATCTCAAGTCTTGGCTACGAGATCAAATGTTAAGCCAAGACTAAGACTGTGTTAAACTAAACTCTTACGAAGACAAATCTTCACAACATTTAACATCATAAGTGTAAGAATTTACAGAAATAATGGCCATTTTAATATTCTGTATTCACTGATTTCAAATTAACTTCATAACATTTAAAAGCAAAATGTTCTTCCTGTGACTGGGGTTGGGCTGAATCCATTATCAAATCCATTTTGGTTCAGCTTTCAACATTTACCACAAAAAATAACTAACTAAAATAAATACAATACTAACATTCGATTATTTGATGCTTTTAGGTTTTACTAGTTAGAAACAAGTTAGAAACAGCTTTGAATGGCAGCCTGATTAACAACCTGTAGATATAGACCTAAAACAGAAGACATGAAATCAAACAGTTGCAGCCTTCTTCACCTTTCAGCACTTATTTCTCACAGACTACCTGATACGTTGCTGAACGTCATGATCCAGTAGGTTGATAAAGTTTAATAACTGTTGACAAAACATAGATGTACAACTGCAGGGCTTCTGCTTCATGGCTGGATGTCTCACCTGTAGCCTTTAGTCGGGGTTTGGGGCTTTTCTTCTCTTTCTTGTCCGTCCGTCCCCGTCGAATCACCTTCTTGCTTCTCTTCTTGGAGTGACCATAGTCGCTGTCATCATCGTCCTCCACCATGAAGTCCTCATCACTGCCGGACTCGTCGGCTGTGCACAGAAATGGGGTGTATAGTAATCCTTTCAACACAGATTCTCTCCTGTGGTATTATTGATTAACTAATGTGATGACAAAACTGTCGCACCAGGAAGAGTACAGAGCAATTTCAGATGATTGTCGAGTGAGTTTGTTTTTGTGTCAAGCTCAGTTTCCAGTTGAGTATAAATAATGTCTGTCAGCTTTCAACTGCTCACCTCTATTATTTTATCAAGACCTGCAATAATATAATTATTGCTCTAAAAAAGTGGTTTACTACCTATTTGGCCTGTGGGCCCTTAAAATGGAGTAGCATCCACTTGTGCCTTAATAAGAAGCTCATTAGCTAATTCTTTTCCCCAAATGTAGTGTAATAAAACTGTATTTTTCTTTCCTATCCTTTTAATAACTGGGGATTTGAGGCCATAACACCAAAGCTGGGAACCACTGCTTTAAAGCTTCTTTTTATGTGACAAGGATTTCAGGTTTTTCTTCTATGATCCTGCAAATGATAGTGTTAGAAAATGTAGCTGTTCCTGTAAACCAGGCTGACAGCTTGCTTATGGGGTATCAGTTTTTGTTTGGTGTAGGTAGGATTGCTGTGTCAGTGCTGAGGTACATACGGTCCAGGTAGGATTCCTCTTGGTCTTCATGCTCCTCGTCCTCGCTGCCGCCGTCGCCCAGCAGGATCTCCCTCTGTTTGGACACAGCCTTGGAGGCTGCCTGGCGCACTGTACGCTTTCGACTCACTTCCCTGTCGTCATCACTGTCATCTGCACGACAAACGCACACAGTTACGCAATGTTTGTTAACAATACAGGTGAAAAGGAACAAGAGAACAGCAAAGAGAGAGGATGAAGTGTCTTTGTGGATTAACCAGGTTAATGCATTAACTTTCTTTTAGCAGGTTTTTGTGACCGAGTGTTAATTGTGATGGTGACAATGCCATCAATTTCTGCAGATGTGATAAGTTATCAGTACAATGCTGTTCTTCAAATAATACCTTTGTTTTTTTCCTTCTTATTCCCCATCTAAATTCTTTTGGAATCAGTTTCATCATGTGCAATCTGCACACTCTTGCTTTTCAGAATGTTTCAGAAAATTACAAAAGCATGGATGCTATGAGCAATAATCTTTTTATTTTTATTTTTAAATCAATCGTTCAGTCTATGAAAAGAGAGAAGATAGTGAGATATGCCCATCACAGGTTCTGAGAGTCAAACGTGATGTCCTAACCCGTCCCGTTTTTTTCTCAACCAACACTCTATAATAGCAGCTTATTCTCACAAGGAAGAAGCAGGAAGTAACAAATACTTGATATTTTTTGCTTTAAGGACCGATCGATTATTGTAACTGTTGCAGACTAATTTTCTATCTGCCCTACCACCTCTAATGTCAGTTTCATCGACTTCATACCGTCTAAACCGCAGGTGTGAAGAAGCATGGAATCAGTCTCAGTCTCTGCAACCATCCTGATTATCCGTCAGTGAAGCCACAACTATAGTGATTTTCTTTTCTTTTTTTTTTTTTTTTTTTTAAACATCTCAATTGTATGTTTTTCTAAACTCCTGATGCATTGCACATAGTTTGTTTTCATAAATACAGATTAAAAAAAGTGACATTTCATTTGGATATAGAGTTCAGTTCAGTATTTATTACATTTCAATGTGTAATTAGTTTTTATTTAACAATTCAGCTTTTTTGCCCAACCCTTAAATGGTTTACTGATTGTTGGTTGAATATTTGTATATACATGTCACTGAAGAACTGGTGATTTAAAATTCACCACAAAACACACACTCTGCCGATCACCCAAACCAAACAGCTTCAAAATAAAACCTTTGATTCCTCCCAGAGTTAAAGGGCAGACATGTATATATAATGAGGATATTGTTTAGACTATCATTAATTACTAGATTAATCACAAAAGTTGAGATGCCATCAACATTTATTAGCTCTGCTCAGAGGATGACAGTGAATTACTGATCAGGCTGATCCAGCGTTCCTCTTGCTCACAGTAATAAATAAAAGCTGCACGTCACAGTGTCTGGGAACGTTGGAGGCAAACGACTCAATCAGTCACAATCAGCTGGAGATGTGGGAGGAGTAAGAGCTGTCCGTCAGCCACTGAGCTCAAGTTAGTGTAGGACCAAGTTAGATGTTCATATGTCAAAAGATCAATGTTAATGGCTGCTGGCTGGGCCTTCACCTATGGGGCTTGGTCTGGCTCAGCCATTATAAATTCCACAGGGCCACCACCTTGTGGGCGCACCTCCTGGAGATAGAGGTGGGTGATATAATGGATATGCTCCATATATCGCGGCTTGTTCCACGTGGGATGTAGTAAAATGACTATATTGCGAACTCTGACTACAAATTGTCACATAATAGTTTTAAGCTGCCGACATGAAATGTGCTTTGGCGTTTCACTCCTCTTGCCCTCTCCTGTCTCCGTCTCACAGACCACACACTCCCCCGCCCATCTAGAAAACTCTCCTGAATGAGTACAGCTTTGTGTGCGTGCGTGCACTGGCTGCGTCGCTGATACTGCAGTTCTGTGTTTGTAATTAGGGTTTGCCTTGACTTTTGTTTATCCTCATTCAACACACACACACACACACACACACACACACACACACACACACACACACACA